ATAAAAATAAGTAAAAAGAAAAAAAAAATAAATGTAAAATTTTTCGTTTAAAATTTCAGTTTCAGTTAAAAAATTAAATTTAATTAAAATACTATAAATACTTGTTAAATACAGAGAAAATTTAATCAATTGTCGATTAAATAAAATGAATTACTTATTTAAAAAAATTATTTTATATAAAGTTAATTGTATTTCTTTAATTAAAATATCTTAAAAGATATTTTAAAAAATGTTATATATATACATATTATGTATTATGTATATTTATTAAAATAATTAAAAAGCATAAAATTTTCTCTTTTCAAATTCTTATTTTTAAAAAATTCGAAATTAAGAAAAACTAATGATATATTCATGTTATTGAATTGTTATATATGTCGAATTTTTAAATTTTATTTTCATTAAAATTAATCTTAAAATAAAAATATTTTATTCTATATTTCTATATCATTCTATATTATTCTATATTTTTTTATTTATATTTGCATTTTAAAAAGTTTTTCTAGCAATGTATTAAATTCTCTTTATTTCAATATATTAAAAAAATTATGAAAATTTTCCTATAATTGATTAATTTTCAAATTTTTCGCAAACTTTTACAAAAACAAAATCTTTTTTTTTGTAAGTTAATTTTAGATTTGTTTTTCTATCCATTAGTTATAAATTTTAATTGAAACTTGTGAAAATTTCAATAATAGAATTTATTTTGTTTTATAGATATTAAAGTGTACCACTAAGATTTTATTTAACTTTTTACTTTGTTATTATTTGTTTTAAAATTCGAAATTTTCTTTTCTTATGATTTTTAGAGATACTATTATTGTTTGTATATCAATGATTGTTGGAAATAGAGATTTTTATAATAATTGATTATCAGATATATTGATGCTGTACAAGAATTTAGTATTAAAAATTCATTTGATGTTATTGCACTTATTGATGACACATTTTTGGCTTTATCATGTCTTCTTATGATTTTTAAACTTTTTTTGTTTTCATTTGTTTTTTTTCTTTTGAGTGAGATATTTTTCTATTTATTAAATTCAATTACGAATATCTATACTTTTCAATAAGTGATATGCAATTCAGTATTAAAATATACATGATTTATTTATTAATTAAAACTCAACTAAAAGACATATAAAAGATTAGCAGATAATCTATATTTATATTTTTAACAAAGAATAAAACGAGATTGAACATATGTTTAAATTAAAAATATATTTTTTATTAATTTTTATTCTGTTTAATTATATAATTTTAAAAGTTTTTTTTATAAATATTTATTATTAATTATAAATGTTATGATTTTTTTTAATTTATATTTTTTTTAATTCATACTTTTTTAGAATACTAGAAACATGTTAATTATTTATAAAAAGGAAAAATATTTTGTTATAGCTCCTTATGAATTCTTACATGATATCACATGTTTATCGAAAAAACCGTTAAAATCGCAATATCGACAAGGCGTTGTTAATCGGTTTTGGGCAACTTTAACATCTCTAACAGAAGGTGACAGTATGCTTGCACACTTTAGCTGGTTTCCAGAATTTGGATGGACGTGGTATAGTGTACCAGATACTATTAGAAGCGGCATGCCAGTTTTTTATCTATCAGCTTATCCTTCACCTAGTACAGTGCAACTTAGGTATATTTTCAAATAAATCATAATTGATTATATTAAAATTATTTTTTTGAATGCATGAAATCAAATTAAATTTTTATCATTTTTTTATTTTTTATATACGATTTTGATTGAAAATATTTTTAACAATAAGATAATAGAATAAGATATATAATATTTAAATATATCATAGTTAAAATTTTAACTTTATCTGTCATATCATTTTGAAATTATATTTTAAGAGATAAATAATATTGAAATTTTAAAGATTAATTTCATCCTTTTGAAATGATATTTCATATTTTATTAATAAAAAAATTGTTGTATATATAATTATTTTATATATAATTCATTATGATCTATATATATATTTTCGCAATGTTTTTATATAATTTATATAAATAGAATTATTATTAAGTTATGTTATTATTGATTTGATAACATAACTTATTAATTGAACTCGCGTATAGTATATGAAGATTTTTGTAACTGATTGTATATGTATCAAAAGTTTTATTTCGATATTATTAAATCATTATGTGATTTAATAAATGAAAAAAATTAAATTTATTTATAAAATTTTTATATTTATATTTATTTTCAGTGATGCTGCGTGTCCACAATTTGGACAAATTTGGCAACCTGTAGTGTCTTTGAATCCTTTACAATGGGCTCGATGGATGCATACACAAAGAGTAACATTGATTTTATCACATGATAGACCACTGCCAAGACATTTACATCAAGCAAATCAAAGTGGTCGTTTTCAATGTGTTCAAAGTCGTCAAGCCGCTGCTGTTCTTTATGCTATGTTAAAAAATTGGGCAACTTTCGTTCTTGTTGAAAATCATACATACGTACAATTTATTTATCGAGAAGCTGATAAACCTCCAGTTTCGTTCTCATTAATTCGTATTAATTGCAAAGCACTTTGTGTAATTCTTAACATTGCATTTGCAGCTGGAACAGAAGGAGTTGTTCGACACAATGTTGTTGTTGATCTTTTAGATAGATTATCTAAACTTACTTTACCAAATAGACCTACAGAACAAAAAGAAACACCATCTTGTACTATAATTCATAAGTCTTTAGAAAAAATTTTAATTAGATATGAACGAATGCCAACGGATTTGAATTCAATTATATTTCCCGATGGGATTCAAACTATATCGAATAGACTTACGCCAATGTTAGGTGGTATTTTGACAACTAGTTTGTCTAGATATTTGTACCATAATCGGTGGATTTGGCATGTAAAACGACCTTTCGTACAAACTATTCCTGGAATTATATTACCGAGATTAAATATAACTGCAATCGCAAGAATTCTTTCTACAATTACAAAGTAAGTATTTTTATTAATATTTCGTTATATTTATACTTTTCAATTTTTAAAAAAAATGCAATTATCAATTTTGATAAAATTTTTGGAGAAAATATTTTCAAAAAGAACATTTGAACATTTTTTTTATCAATAATATAAAGCAAGAATATAATTTACAATTGAACACTTGCAAGTTAATTGTGACTTGTATTCCTTATTTTTTCATATGTTTCATTATAATCTAAAAAACATTCGATTATTATTCAAGTCTTGTTATCAATAAATTAATCATCATTAAATACATATATATACCTTTGGTATAGGAAAAAGCATAATATATGTATATATAGTGATTACTAATATTTATATAGAACTTTTGATGGAAGAATAAAACAAGTACGAGTGAAAAAATATATAATATGACTATTTGAGAACAAAGAAGAATTAACTGACTCGCGATTCAGATTTAATTTACGAAGAAGAAATTAGTATACTTAATCTAGGAAATGATTATTTGAATAAAAAATAAATTTTATTTAAATTAAAAAAAATTGATTTTTTATTAAACAAATTTTTAATAAACAAATTATTATTTAATATTTCCTAAAGATTAATGATGCTATCCTAATGATTATTATGAGATAGCTTTTTATTAATGTATATACTAAAACTTTATATTATTTATATATTATGTATTTAAAAAAATTAAACATATTTAAAGTATTATAAAAATATATAAACATATATATTTACAAGAAAATTAAACTAATTAAAGTTAAATATAATAAATTTTTAGAAAAAAAATTTTTTTTTTAAATTTTATCTTATTTTATGAATATGAATATGAATCATTATAGGAATATATAGAAATATATAGAAAGCAATTATATTTTGATTGATAAGGATTTTTTGAAGTGACAATTGCCAATTTTTATGAATTTTTTTTTATGAAATTTAATTTATATTTTTTTTATTAGTAATTATTAAAAAAATGAAAATCTTGAAAACTTATTAGTAATTTGTTAAAAAAGTAAAAATCTTAAAAACTCTTTTAAATCTAATTAAATATATAAAGAAATAAATTATATTTTTATAAAAATTTAATAATTATTTGAAAAAATTTGTAATCTTTAAATGATATGTTACAAATTTATAAAA